TTTATAAATTATTTTTATTTCATGAACTTTATCATTATTTTTTATATATTAATCAAACATCAATAAATATTAAAAGATAAATAATACCTTTAATAATGATAAATATGTTTAAATATGAATAAAGTCAGTGTTATAAGTAAATATTATTATTAAAATATATTTAAAAAATCTCAAATATTATTTAAAAGTCATGAAATAATTGAATTTTTTTTTAATATCATTGTGATTAATTATAAAAGGATTTTATTTCAAGATATATATAAAAAAAAGAAATTATAAAAGGATTTTATTTCAAGATATAAAAAATAAAAAATAAAAAGATAAAGGCCCAGAGAATCAAACTCAAGCATGTCTCGGCTTTCAAGTCTAGACCAATTTTTTTTATATAGATAATAGATAATATATTATTTGTTTACAATCATTTTCAATCATTGAAAATGATTTTAGTGATTAAAAAATTAGAATCTAAGTTTTTTTTTTAACTTATAAAACTCATATTTAAAGCCTTTTTTCCTCTTGAAAACATCATATGGATCCATAAAACTCTATTTTCAATCACAAAACACATAATAATTGCATGAAAACACCAAATTGAGAATAATTTCATGCCCTGATCTATGTTTTTAGCATAATTAAAGTTCAAAACCATATCCATTTAATTTTTTTCTCTTAAGGATAAATCAATAAACACCAAAATAAGAGCTATTGTTGGTCAAAATTCGACCATCTTGGAACTTTTTCTCTTTTGCACTTTTTGGAAAATTTTCTCCCTCCTCTCTTATCTTTTGCACTTTTTGGAAAATTTTCTCCCATAATATTTTCAAGAATTAAAACTTGAAAAAAATACAGTTTAGAATCAAACCATAATATTTTAAACTAACATGATCAATCAATAAAGAATTTGAAATTTGAGGGACCAAATGAAAATTTTGTGTGCTTTTTATGAAAAAATGGCTCAATTTCTTCCTTTGTGTTAATTTTGGTTCCTTATCTCACAATTTTTTTTTTAAAAAAAAACAATAAGCTACAAATCTGTTTCATCAAAGCGACCATTAATTTAACATTGAAATATTTAACAACGCATTAAGAGAAAAACAAAACCGATCAAAACATAGTAATATAAGACAATAGGATCTAAATAATGAAAAAAAATGAAACTTGAGGGATCAAATCAAATTTTTTTCACTCCTTTTATGGAAAAGGACTTTATTTCTTCCTTTATCTTATTTTTTCTCTCATATTTTAGGTTTTTTTTGCAATAAACTAAAAGATCTATTTTATAAAATTGATCATTCATTTAATGTCGAGATATTTGAAAATGCATCACATAAGTGAAAGAAACCAAACTAAAATAAATGTCAACATATAAAATCATGGTAATATAATTTCAAAGGACTAAATTGAAAAAAAAAGAGAATGATCCAAGTAAAAAAAAGAAGCAATGATCTAGAATGAAAAAACAATTCGCTATTAAGAGTGAAGTGAATATAAGAACGAGAGAGGATGAACACTGTGTATATAATGAAATACCCATCTGTTTTAATTTATAGTGACTTGCACTCTATCGTGGATTTTTTAATTATATAAAAATATTAGGTTTTTTCAACGCATTTCTATAATTTAAAAAATCTAAGTTTAAATAAAAAAATTTATACATATATATAATAAAATAAATCAAGAACTATGTGTATGAATAAATAAATAAAAAATCTTTAATGATACCTAAAAATAAAACTTAAAAAATTAAGAGACAAGTGTAGACAAAATATTTAATTTTGAAACACGATACATTTATCCAATTGTGTTTGATAAATTTATTTATTAAAGTTTTTTATTTAAGTAAATGATAATAGAAATAAAAAACAAATTAAATTGATTGAATAAAATAAAAAGAAAAAACCATCATGTAAGGCTGCACATATTAAAAATATTATCTTAAAATAATTTTTTTATTTTCAGAAATAAACTTCATCCCTATAAAAGATAATACAATTATAAATGAATTAGAAAAACACTTTAAATTCAAATACACAACTAAAAAAATAATCATTATATAAAAGAAGTTCACTAAATAAAATGAAAAAGAGAAAAGATACTAATTTAAATATAAATTTAAAAAAATTAGAGAAACAAACATAAAAAAATCATTAATTAAAAAATTTAAAATAAAATTATTTAAAAAAACGAAAGTCAGACGCTATTGGGTCTGATAAGTCAGGTTAGCCCGCCTGATCCATTTTATCAGTGACCACACATGGGCATGCCTAGTTTAAGGTTTTTTTTTAAAAAAGATTTAGAGCTTAGGTTTTTTCTTCTAAAAACCTATTCTTCAACCATTGTTTTGTCCTAAAACACATAAAAATATTGTAAGAACCAGGATAAATTTAATTACAGGTTTAAAAAATCTTTTCAAAAATCAAAATCAATTTGAACTCAGTTCTATTTTTTTTACAACCTTTAAAGTTAAAAATATATAATATGAACTTTCATCGTCAAATGAAAATCATTTGACATACATATTATTTATTTTTGTAGCTTTAATCAGTGTCAAAATTTATTTTTGTAGCTTTAATCAGTGTTAAAAATATATAAGTTAATTTATTTTTCTCTTTACTGCTAAAATTTAGTAACTCCTCTCTCTCTCTCTCCTCTTTCATAGATTAAAAAATAAAAATAAAGATTTTTTGTACTAAAATTGAATTAGAAAAATATTGAGGTACTAAAATTTTATAATTTGTGTTATTTTTTAAGTTCAAGGACTAAAGTGTATCTTTTATAAAACTTATAACATGCTATTTATTTTTGGCATCATTTCATTTCAGTCTTTTTTTAATTCTAACTTTTTATAAAAAATTAAAATTAATTAGTTTTTAATTAATACTAAATTACTGGAAAAAAATTAAGTATAAATTAAAAGGAAATAAAATTTTACGTAATCTCTTCATAATAATGTGTAAGATGATAAACAGTAAAGTTTGTAAAATACTCCAGTCTTTTAAAATAGCAATATCATTATTATTATTGTTATTATTATTTTATTACCATTATTACTTTTCCATCCAATACAAGATTAAAACAACCGAGTGTGATTATCGAGAAAAATAAAAATAAAAACCTAAAGCTCTGGAGCGACAAGGTCGATTACAGAAACTTTCCTAGGTGCACATTCAACTAGGTGTTGAAATTCGAGAAATTTTATGGTACTAGGCTATAATTTATTACGTCCTGTAAGTTACAACTTAAAGTTTTAATTAATATACCGCGTAATCATCCCATGTCAATGAATAGTTACAACTTAAAGTTTTAATTAATATACCACGTAATCATCCCATGTCAATAAAAAAAATCAATTATATTAATAAATTAAATGGAAAAAAATAAAAAAATCAATTATGTTAATAAATTAAATGGAAACAATCATTTTTTTAAATACTCAAATTAATAATTGCTGCGGGTTGCCTTTTGAAATCATTTATAACTTTATCATTATTCGGACACGTTATCATATTTATTTAATGGTTAATGCATTATTAACATGAGAAGATTAGAAGAAACTTTTTGAGTTTTATTATAAGTTTTTTTTTTCATGACCTTAAAATTATTATTTTCTTCATATCAATTATTTATTATTGAATTATATAAACATATATGTTATTCTTTAAAATTAAATAATCATAATGATCATCCAATTATTACAATAGAATAAACATATAATCTCCTACTTATATTATTGCTAACTTCTTGTTTTTCAAATAAATCAATTTTAATTTACCTTCTCCATGAGTTAGATTAATCATATTTTAGGTTTGAAACTTACATTGAAAAAATAATCAGATTAATTGAAAAATTCATTTAAAATCAACAGCAATGTTAATCCTTATTAAAAAGCAATAATTACATTAATTTAGCTATTTAGAAAAATGATTGTTTTCATTTAGTTTCTTGTATTAATAGTTATTCTAGATAAAAAGTTAGACATGATTAATGAATTTTTTAGATTTGATGACATGGAATAATAACATGTTATATTAGTTAATGGTTCTATCTTGTCATGAACAATATTCTTTTAACGTTTCATAAAATTGCTCTTATTATATATCATTTATCATGATTATTTTATTTTCCTTATTTAAATATGTATTTCCTTTTAAACGTGATTCTTCTCGTTTTCTCAAATTTCAGAGTGAATTAATTGGATCAACTATTTAATTGCTTATATTTTTAATTATTATACAAGTATGTTTAATTTACATGAAAATCAAATCAAAATTACAAAATTAGGATTTGAGAAGGTAGATAATTTTTAAATCAATTATGTTTATATATTATTATATTTTTAATTATATTCAATATTACCAAGGTAGATAATTTTATGTCTTTTATTGTTAGGATTTGAGAAGACAATTAAAAAACTAAGGTATAATAATATATAGTTTTAATTTTAGATGCATTCAAATAAATATTTTTTTCTTTAACTAGTTGAAGGTTATATTTTATAGTAATCAATGGATTGAGATTTATTTTTTCAACATTAAATTTATTAAACACAATGATATAACCAAATTTGAAAGAAAAAAAAAGAAATTAATTAATAATGATACATTAAGTATTATTAGTATAATTATTAAATTTAGTTTAGTTTGATGAATTAATTTGATAACCTGCGATTTAAACCTGACTTAAATTAAATTAAATTTTATTTTGAATTGATTTAAAAATTGATATGATTCTATTTGAGTTTTTTTTAATTTTAATTCAAAATAATCTCATTTTATTTTATAAAATAAAAATAATATTGTTCCATGGTTGATGCCATACTCCATAACATGACTATATACTAAATATTAAAATTAAATAATCATATAAATTATAATATGCAGATGTTATAATTATAAATGAAAGCTGGCACTAAAACTCCACGCGCTCTTTTTTAGCTCAGAAGTATTATAACCATTTTCTCTGGTCAATAAGTAATACCTCCAATTTCCGAGGGGAAAACTTTGGAGCTAATTTAGACATCGCAGACCGCCACCATCTATACCTCCTTCACAACCCCCACACACCCACGCGCGTCGTCTTTTCATTTCTCATTATTATTATTATTATATAAATTAATATTCACTCTTCCCTTTTCTCTGTAAAACCCTAATTGTCGAATTCTCTCCTTTCTCTCTCTAATTTTTTTTCAAAAACTCTCTCCCTCTCTAGAATCTTTTCGATCATTTCGCAAATCGATCGGTTACTTCAGTTACTCTTTAAACCCAAACTTGAATTCCACTGTTAATTTCTCAAGATCTGTTGTTAACTTTTTTTTTTAATTGAGAAATCGAGGGTTTTTGATTGATTGATCGATTGATTAAGGCTGGCTGTTCATTGGGTCAGGTGAATGGCGGATCCGCCGACTGATTTTATAATTGATAGGGCTACAGTGTGGCGAGGAAAGTGAAGTGTAACCAAGACTTTGAAGAAGAAAATAAAAGCATGCTGAGCGTGATACGTGTGCATCTTCCATCGGATATTCCTATTGTTGGTTGTGAGTTAACGCCGTATGTTCTTTTACGGCGACCGGATACGAATGCTACTACCGATGACGTCCCCGAGTCTGCCCCTCTTGACGGTCATTTCTTGAGATACAAGTGGTAAGTGATTTTTTCTTTTTTCCTTTTCCTTTTCCTTTTCCTTTCCTTTCCTTTTTCCTTTTTCTTTTTATGTTCTTGCTAATGTTGGGTTCTTGGAATATTTCGATTTGGTTGATTATTTCTTGTGCAATTTGGTGCTTTTTTTAATTATATTCTTTGTGTTTTAAATTGTTCGGGATTGTTTCTTACGTGGTGTTTTGCTTACTTTTGTGTGATGTTTTTAAAATTTGGATTGTATCTGCAATTCCTTGTTTTGGTGTTTAGTGCCTGCTTTAATCTGTGTCATTCTAATGTTTGTTGTTTTCGTTTTAAAGCGTTGAAGGCTTGAAACTTCTATCAATACATTAAAATAAATCAAATTGCTTGGCGAACTAGACTCCATGAGCACAGTATGTTGTTGCGGCTTGTGGTGACTTGTGTTATTATACGACAAAAACTCGTAACGCATATAATGGTAAACTGAAAATCTTCCTAGCTTTTATTTTTTCCTTTCTTTTTCCTTCCTGTATGTTAGGTACATTGTACCACCACATGGTGAAGGGCCATACTAGAAAGTTAGGTATTGAATTGCTGATTAGTGATTGAAGCTTTTTCATTATGTATTTATAAATTTAATATGGTGATTGACTATTAATTATCTTGAAATATTATATGTGTTGCCACCATAAAATTATGTTGGCTGTGAGCTGTAACACTTGACTGGCATTTATAGCTTCATGAGGTTATCATACATCCCAAACATTGGGAATCATTTTTTTAATACAAAGCAGTAATTAAGGGTTGAAGTATGATAATTTCATTGCATCATTGTGTATTCAACCAGCATTGAGTAAACCTCAGTAGAGAAGTAAGAGGCATAATTGCTAGTTGGACCATGTGTCTTGGCTTTTGAGTCATGCTTGTCCTCTGGTCATGCATTTTTTGCAATTTTCTGCAGGGCTAGTGATTGAATAGATCCTAATGTGTCTTATCAATTATTTAACTTGGTCAGTTATTATTGGATTATTTGATTCAAATTCATTTGCTGAACATATTGATGATTTAATAGGAGTAAACATATTTTATGAGACTGATAGCACAAATTGGATAGAACTGCTATACTGCCAGACTTAATGCTTAAAACAGATTGAGCTGCAAGGCCTCCAGACTTGAAGCCCTAAAATGCGGTATTATTGTTATATTTCAATTTTGGTAATTCGACTTAGTAATGAAAAATGTTACTACAATTGACTAGTATTGTGGTTATCTGTGTCGGGATTGTGCTCACTGATGTGTATAAACTTTCTACTGTACCACTTAAAAAGTCAGAATTTAATGTTCCTGGTTTAATGGTCCAATTGGATTTACAATTTAAAGTGCCTCATCCAGTATGGGGCAAATAGCCCAGTAAAAAAGTTTGAAGGAATATGGTATTCCCTTTTTTCCCTATACTTCATCAATTAGGGAAATTAATATCCTGGAGGTGTTAGGTTCCTGGTTTAATGGTCCAATTGGATTTAAATTAATATCCTGGAGGTGTTATGTTCACTGGTTTATCTTCCTTAATTTATGTGCCTCATGACTTGGCCTTGATCATTGGCATGGGCCCAGATGTAGACAATTGCAGCACCATGTTCTCATTCCTTTGCATCTGGTAAGGATCCATGCCTGTGCCCTGTACCTGTTGTGGGTACTGGCAGATCTCAGCTCTACTGCTGTGTGGCTTCTATTTGGCAGTAGTGTATGCAATGATAGATTGAGTGATAATACTCGGGTATGCTCAACACATGCTTTTTATGCACAGGTGTTCTCAACACTTGTTTCAATTTTCTTCTGTAGCTGGCATATGATTTGGAATAAAACCTTGGTATCATTGGGGTATTTCCCAACATGGCATGATATTGGTTCTCATAAATGTTTGCATGAACTGGGTCAATGGAAAAGCATCCAGATTTTTGTCATCAACTTAAATGTGTATTTTTTTACTTTTCCTAGAACATAATAAGGGTTAGGATTATTTGGTCAGGAACTTTTTCCGCCTTTTTTCCCTTCTAGGAGTTGTGTGTTTGAAGAAAAGTTGTGTGACCTGTATTGTTAGCTTTATTGACTTCTGGTGACACATTTGTGTAAGATTAGTGTCAGCTGTCCTCCTAATCATGCTTAGCCAGGTGGATCTTGTTGTATATTTTACTGCTACCTGTTTGGACACATATACCCTTTTTTAGATTAACATGATGACTTTATGGTTCTGGTGTGCTCGGTGCAGAGGACATTTAAAGATTACCCTGTTGTCAAATCGTAAAGGAGAAACAAGGAAACTTAAAAGATGGAGTTGCATTTTGGAATAGTCATAGGAATGTCATAATTAATGTTAATGTGGTTGCCAATTACACATAATTTATGAATGGATCAAACTAAATCCTATTTGATTTGAGCAAAATTAAGCCTAAAAAAACCAATCGAGCATCAGTACTTTAATTCAGCATGTTTAGTTGTTTACATATGTTTTAAAATTTAGCTTTCTGATAGAAGTGCTGTTGCATGCTTGTGATTCAGTTGAACTTATGTTGCATCCTCTGACAGGGGATCATTGCACCTGTTCCTTAGTTGCAGGACAGGTTGGAACATATTATTTAGTGTTGTCTCAGTTTTATATGCATCACCCTGTTTTTGGGCTTCTTTGCAGGTATCGGATACAAAGTGATAGAAAAGTTGCTATATGTAGTGTACATCCATCTGAGCAAGCCACACTGCAGTGTCTAGGTTGTGTTAAGGCCAAAATACCTGTTGCCAAAAGTTACCATTGCTCTCCCAAGTGCTTCTCTGATGCATGGCAGCATCATCGAGTTCTACATGACCGTGCTGCAAGTGCTATAAATGAAAATGGAAACGAAGAAGAAGAGTTGTTTGGGCGTTTCAATAGCTCAGGATCTGGAGGTATTAATACTAGTTTATCTGGTTCCGCATCTAGTGCTAGCTTGACAAATGGTTCCACACCGTTGTATCCTGCGGCTGTGACGCAAAGGAGTGGTGGTGAAACCTGGTTTGAAGTTGGGCGTTCTAAAACATACACACCATCAGCTGATGATATTGGTCATGTTCTCAAGTTTGAATGTGTTGTGGTAGATGCAGAAACTAAACTCCCTGTAGGACATTCAAACACACTACTAACTTCCCGTGTCATCCCAGCCCCCTCTCCAACTCCTCGTCGTTTGATCTCAGTTAGTGGACTTGATGCAATGGCACCTTTAGATTCAGATGGTCGTATCTCATCATCAGGAACTTTTACTGTGCTCTCATACAACATTTTATCTGATGTGTATGCTACAAATGACACATACAGTTATTGTCCTTCATGGGCTCTTTCTTGGCCATATCGTCGACAGAACTTACTGAGGGAAATAGTTGGCTATCGTGCAGACATTGTTTGCCTTCAGGAGGTAAGACAAGAAATGAATATCAATTTTATCTATCAATCAGGATAGCAAGTGGAAATTTTTAATTTCAATTTTTCCTCAAAGTTCTTAATCTCATCAGAAAATGCAAGTGAAAATGATAGACATGATGGGGAAAGATGATCGGAGATTTTTCATTTTCTTTTTGGCTGCCATGTTATTGCTTTGTTTCTTTAGGTTTGGTAGGGTAAAATAGCGAGACTCTTACTGGATCATTTATTATAGCAATGTTATAGATGAAAATGACAATTAGCTTTCTTAGAAGACCTTAAATAAAAATACTTGGTATTCTCACAGTTATATATTATGAACATAACAAGATTTATCTAGCACTTCAGTAGATTGAATCCTGTATAGGAGCTAATTCTTTGTTGATGGGTTATCCTCATCATTGGACAAGGGGATTGTCTTCTTCCTTTTCAGGGCAACTCATGCAATGCTTTTTTCCACGCTCTCAGGTACAAAGTGATCATTATGAGGAATTTTTCGCCCCTGAGCTGGACAAGCATGGTTATCAAGCCCTGTATAAGAGAAAAACCAATGAGGTTTGTAAAACTTCCTCTCCTCATTGTCATAACTATTTATGCGTCAATTACAATATTATTACTTAATACTAGGTCTTGTTATTATTTGCAGGTTTACAATGTAAATACTCATACAATTGATGGTTGTGCAACATTTTTTCGCAGAGATAGGTTTTCGCATGTCAAAAAATATGAGGTTTGGAAGTGTTCTGGATGTGGGGCTATGCTTTTGCATTGTTCTTCTTTTTCTATGCGTTAAAGGGTTTACTTGTTTGCAGGTTGAATTTAATAAGGCTGCTCAGTCTTTGACTGATGCATTGGTTCCAAGTGCTCAAAGAAAAACTGCTTTAAATCGATTAGTTAAGGTTAGTTTATTGCAGTTGATTTTGTTGAAGTTTTGCTGGTGCATGAGGAACTTTTTCTTTTTATGTTAACCTGGTTTTCTCATCTAAATTCTTTTCTATTCAATAGGATAATGTTGCATTAATAGTTGTTCTGGATGCAAAATTTAGTAATCAAGGAGCTGATAATCCTGGAAAGCGGCAGCTACTTTGTGTTGTAAGTGATCTTGGAGCCTAATATTCTCCAAATAGTTATGCCATTTTGGTCCTTGTATAAAACTTGTTTCTGCAGTTGTTCCTTGCTTTTCTCATAAAAAAAAATATATCACAGTTCTTCATGCTAAATTGTGTGGTTTCTGTCATAATTTGTTTATGAGGTCCCTAATTGATGAAGCTGATGGTGTGGATGTATGATACCTTTATCTCTTATTAGGTGTCTGTTTGCTGATTTTTTTCGTGTTTTAAATTACCTCAAACTTAGTGCAATAGGTAAGGCCATGGCTCCAATTTGTTAAGGATGGATGTCATTCTGTTTGTAATTCTGTTTCTCTTGCAATACAGGCAAATACGCATATAAATGTCCACCAGGATTTAAAGGATGTCAAGCTTTGGCAGGTTCATATTTATTTTTCCATTTTATATGCAAATCTGATTTGGCTTGTGTTTGTAAACTGATGATTGATTTGTGGTTTCTGGTTTGTGAACTAGGTCCTTACTCTCTTGAAAGGATTGGAGAAAATAGCTGCTAGTGCTGACATTCCTATGTTGGTGTGTGGAGATTTCAATTCAGTTCCTGGAAGGTTGGTCTGCTGTTATGAAATATTTTTAACATTTATCTCGTGCATGTTTGGTATATTCTATAACTAAGGTTACTGTTGAACTTGGTTGCAGTGCACCTCATTCTCTTCTAGCCATGGGTAAGGTGGATCAGTTGCACCCGGATTTGGTAGTAGATCCTCTTGGAATCTTACGGCCTCACAGCAAGCTTACACATCAGCTGCCACTGGTAATGTGTCTCCTGATAAATGACCAGTCTCAGTGGTTTTAGGGAATCCAAAATACTTTTAACTTTTGATTAATCTTTAATAAATGAAAATGAAAGCTGAAAGGAAAGCTTGTCTCTTGTTTTTGGTGCTTGTTGTGGGTTGTGTTGGTAGTGATACAATTAGTATTGCAGGTCAGTGCATACTCATCATTTGCAAGAGTGGGTGTTGGTCTTGGTTCGGATCAGCAGAGGAGGAGAATGGATGCCACAACAAATGAACCCTTATTTACAAACTGCACTCGAGACTTCATTGGCACCCTAGATTACATATTTTACACAGGTCAACTTCTTTGCAACATGCTATTCTCCACATCTTTTGCCCTGATGTTGTCATCTGTTCTAATTTGGTCATGCTATTTGAATCTTGATCCTTCTTTGATGCAAAGTTTTGTGAATATTTTTTAATGCTTTCAGCGGACTCTTTAACGGTGGAGTCATTGTTGGAACTCCTGGATGAGGAAAGCTTGAGGAAAGACACGGCCCTTCCATCTCCAGAGTGGTCCTCTGATCATATAGCACTTCTCGCTGAATTTCGCTGCAAGCCTAGACCAAGACGTTAACACTACAGGTAGCTAACAACTCATATTTTAATGAGAATGATGGTTAAAGGATCGATTAGTTAACGCAAGTTGCTGCTGATGTGGGCAGGATTAGAGATCCCAAGGCAATCAATGACCTGGAGATACGGATGGATTTATGTGTCATTGTAAGAATGGTAGATCATGGTCACTATGTTCTATTCCAGATGTCTCCCAGTGGGGATCCTTGGTATGATCTGCTTTGTATCATTTCACCTTTGCTCTCATAGAAAAGTTATGCCTTATTCAATCACTTTTTTCTTTGCTAATAGAATGATGTGCGGCTTAGTCTGTCATTATCCTGTACTCTTAAGTTCCCTGCAAAGCAAGTGGTTAGTGGCATGCTATTGCGTATTGCCCCTTAGTTTTTTTTTTGGGTTTAATGGTGGTCCTCTCTTTGTTCACGATTCTTTCTTTTACTCTGGTTGCTGAAAGGAATAAAATTCTCGAGTTTTCAGCTGTTTGTTCCATCCCAGGATGTTCAATCCGATTCACAACTATATTTTGTCTCTAGTTTATCATTTTTTAATTAATACTTGCCCTAGGAAATCAATCCGGTTTACAATTTAATGCTCAAACCGTCAACATTCTTAGGTTAACTTTCGGGTATCTTGATATTTTATTTAATATTTTTCTTATCAAGCATTTTTCTATCAAAATTTCACAATATTTTCCAATTATTTTATTTATAATTCACCAGGACTTCGTGGAATATTTGCCTTTATTTCAAATTCAATTCTTGAAACTTTAATCGTTATAAATTAATAAAATTAAATTTTATTAAACGAAATTAATTAGTTCCCTATCCATAGTCAGACAAAACAACCGGCAAAGCTCGTACCAATATAGTTGCAATATGAGAGGGGACAAGTTAAAAAGAAAAAAAATAAAAAAAGAGAAATGGAATGACCATATTGTAGGGCTGCAGGACAAGAAACTATTGTGGATTACCAATCCACATTAACCTGTATATTTTTTTTTAATTTTATAAATATCATGATACAAATTTTTAGTTATATCCTGTTATTTGTATTTTAAAATTGTTACTTTTCCAATATGATTTTTTAATATATTTTCCAATGTGACTGTTACATTATGCATCAAATCTACCTTCTGTTAATATAAATATGTTTAAAATAACTAGATAGATATGAGCTGTTCATAAATGGTTCATAAATAGAATAATATTTTAATTTTATTTTGAAAAATTAGAGTTGAAAAAGAAAAACTAGAGTTTTTTTTTTTTTTTTCAAATGCAACATTTCTCCATCTAGAAAACTGTAGTTTTGTCAAATTTATACTGAGCTCGAAAAACACATTTTGGAGGTTTTCTATATTGTATTTCTCCATCTTTCATCCTTCATCTCATTATTTATTCATGTGCTACAAATGTGGGTTTTACAATATGTGAGAGTTCATAAAGGACTATATTGTATTTATTGTATAATAAAACAATAAAAACCTTTCAGTGAAGGACTCATTTATAAGAAAAATAAAATTCAGGGATCAAGATTTATACAAATCAAGAAATATATGATGTGATCACATGACACTAGTCAATCTTTAAAATCAATAGGAACACAGAGTTAAGAGTATAATATAACGATACAAATATAACATATAATGTTGATATTTAGATTAAAAATAACAGATATATTTATTAGCAAAATAAAGAGTGCATAGATTAATAAATAATTAACAAAAAAGGTGATCTTTTCTTCATATTTTTATTTTATGGCTAATTTGTGATGTGAAGAACTAACTCTAATGCAATGAAGATTGATATATTGAGTTGGGATCAAGGGGTTTGCTTCTTCTGTGGTCTCAGGTTCGAGTCCTTAGTTGCTCATATGATGGCCACTGGAGGCTTACATGGTCGTTAACTTCAGGGCCCGTGGGATTAGTCGTGGTGCGCGCAAGCTAGCCCGGATACCCACATTAATCTAAAAAAAGGATTGATATATTGAGTTATTTTAGGGATATTGGAAACTTATATAATTATTAATTTTATAATTTATAAGATCAGCTGAGGAAGAAATAAGTTAACTAAACATTCATATTAAATCTAACAAAAAAAAAAGAAAAAAAATTTGAAATTTCAACTCTTTATATGCTATGCGCGTTCCTAGTTCCTACAAAATGACATGTCACTGTTATGCAATGTTTTCTTCTCCTCCTTTTTTGTATATATTTTGTACAGTTACAACAAGGAAGTCTCTCCTGAGTGCGCCAGTGATGCATTGAAAGGATACAAAACATTGAAGATGTGAAGGGATTTTATATAAAAAAAGGTTGCACGGTTGGTTTTAATAAGATGATTATATTTTTGTTAGAAGGCTCAGTTATGTTTGGAAGCTTTTTCCCTTGGTTTTAATGTTTGCTGTAGTCGCTATTAAAATTTTATAATTAAATAGTTATGAGTTTAAATTTTATTATTTTTATTTATTTAATAAAAATTAAATATAATATAATATAAATATATGCAAGTTTCAAACCTAAAATATATTTATTTAAAAAAATATATTAGAAAATAATATAGATTATATTTTGAAATCTTATTTAACATCTTAATTTATTAAATTAGAAAAATTCTTTAATAAAGATTATGTCGACAAATGATAGTTGTGAGACCAAGAAAAAGAAAGGGATTCATCAATTATTCAAGGAATACTCAACCCTGAGTAGTTTACTTGCATGCCTTTTGATTTGTTGTGCTTACATATTCATTTTATGAAACTTGATAACCTATGGTCACGAAGAGAAAGGGATTGGACACTTAAAAGTGCATAGCCATTCCACCATCATCGATGGATATCCTCCCCTCTTGTACAACTTCTAGGATTAAACAAGAAATGTGTTTCTCAAGAAATAATTTGAAAATTAAAATATATTCAAAGATAAATATATAATTTGAACATTAAAAAGTTGAATTAACTTTGAAGATAATTATATAAATTTTAAAACAGCTACATTCTCAGAAAATAAAATGCTTAATTTTGAATGTGGGTTCTTTTGCTTTAGCATATCCTGCATTTTCAAAATTTTAATGAAGCAGTCCATTATATATATATTAATTTGTATCTTGTCTAGTCAAGGGGTGTTTGAAAGTATAGTAACATTTATTTTTTAAAGTATTTTTTTATTTATAAATACATCAAAATAATATATATTTTTTATTTTTTAAATTATTTTTATATCAGCATATCAAAATGATAAAAAAATAAAAAATAATAATTTTTTAGAAAATGCCGCCTGGAACACAATCTCAAATGCCCTTTAAGCTTGAATATTTAATTTAGATCTTCCATCCAACAATGGAGACTAATCGAATCCAAGATATATAAGATATTTGTGCATCATTTGTTTAAATTTCTAGACAATCAACATTGTCATCAAAATTACAAGTTGAGTCGTGAAATCATATAATTTTACGAGTTAATATATAATTATTATATAAAACAGGATTAAAAACTTGAAAAACAGTAAAATCAAGAATGACGCGGGAAAAATCGATAAAATTAGCCTGATTTTACGAGTTTACTAAATTTATGATATGAACTAAGTTATATTTGAATTTGACTTTAAAATGTTTACTGACTAGTTTTGTGAGATCGAATATATCTCTCAAACCATACACCGAGTCAAGTTGGAATTTTATAGAAAAATACTAGATACATGAAACTATAATGTGGTAAACTTTCAAGTCAAATGAAGTTCAAAAACATATTATTTCAGAAAATATAAGTTACTAGATAAATCATGTCAAATATATCAAACTAGATCTTTGTGTGCTATTTAAGACATATTTAAAGTTGCATGTGGAATCTTATTTCGATTAAAGTTATGTTGGAAACTAGGTATCTCATACTTTCAAACCATATAAGATAGGTCCAGTGATGCATCCACGTAAAAAAGATAGATGTTATTTGAAATTAGAATTGCAATATACCAAGAATATGCGAAAGTTGGAGATTCGGGCTACATGGAGAAATTTTAGCATGAAGATTTTGTTTTTATTATTCTATTCTATTTATTTAATATTAAATAATTATTTTTAATTTGGGTGTGTTCTGACACATTAGACATTGTTTAAGGTTTTATTTTATTATTGAACTTTTATTAGCTAATTATTAGTTTAAGTTCATTAGCTTACAACCTAAAAAAGGTCTATTAAGACTTGTTGTGATGGGAAAAACCAAATTATTAATAAGCTTTTATGTACTTTCTAGTTCATACCATTCAATGATTCCTTCCAAGTTTTCTTTTATGTTATTAATTTCTTGATTCATGTTATCTATTTCACTTATTAATTATAATATTGTTAATTTTATTTATCAAATTTTAATATATTTTAATCTTTTGACTAGAATTGTTAAATATATAATTAGTTAAAAAATTTTACTTAATTTTAGTTAAAAAAATTTACTTATAATTTTATGATCTGAGTTTACATTATATTTTTTATACCATATTAAAAAAAATGTCTGTAACAAACTTAACAATCAACCTTTAAAATGTACCCAAAACAATAGAAGAAGCAATGTCTCTACAACTATCTTTCAGTGGTTTTGTTCATTTCTTTTTAAACCGATTCCTTTCTTGTTGATTAACCTATATCCTCAGTACTTTACTTCTTCTTTACAGTAGGAATATAGGAATCCTGCTTTTCATATAAAGTCCATAAAGCCTCGGCGTAATTCGCAGATTCTCAGCCTTGAAACAAAACTTGTTTTCAGAACCCTATTGTCGATAAGAATTGGGGAGCAAAGAGGATAATAAATTCTTGTTCCATAGGGGCTGTCTTTTCGCAGTCAGTTCCTTGTACCATCCTTACACAGTAATCGGACTCCCTTCCAGTACAGGCAAATTCATTGATCCAAGAGTTGTTAGAATTTCATTTTTCTTTGTGATGGCTAGCCTCACCAGTCTTTTCTGTGTTGTCCTCCTTGTTTCCTCAGGTTTGTTTGCTTGCCTTGTAAAATTTATCTGGCAACTTTGCTTTGCTAATTGGGTATCGATAATGATCTGTTAGCTTCTTTTTTTTCATCAGTCAGAACAGCACCCATCATCTAAAAGAACTACGAAATCCTTCGCTAATTTGCAAGTCCTTCCATCATGATTATCTAGCTTAGAACTGCTTTTAATATGCATAGAAGCAACGATTTTTATGTACAAATTGCAATTATTTTTAATATATTCTTGATAGGATTAACTAATTCCTTCCGCCCCCCCTTTTTTTTTTTCCCGGTTCACATATGCTGCAGCCTTGATGGTGCATCATGCCGCTGCACAAGAAATGTGCCACAATCTAATTCCTGGAAATGGGAATTGTGATGCCTCAACATGCCAGATGCAGTGCTCCAGCTTAAACCAGGGAACAGGAGCATGCACTCAAACTTTTACAAATCGATTCAATTGCATTTGCAACTGGGAATGTTCTTAGTTTATCCAAGCCATAATCAACAGACTAGAATTGTCCGAGCATGTAAATTCAGATGTTGTGAAAAAATATTATGCTTAAAGTTATACTTGTTTCTTCCAATGCATTAAGAAGTTCAAACTTGGCCAAATTTTATTCAAAAGTATTTATTTTTATCATGATTGTCAACACAACTACTACCTTGTTTCCCAATCGTATTCCCAACTCCCTTGATTTCCCACTTTACAGTCATAGTTCACTGCATGACCAATATTGATATTGATTGCATAAACTTGATGAATGAAAAGGAATATTGAAGTAAAAAAGAAGGAATGAGTTTTATTTTCTTGACTTAAACAACGTGGATATTTTAAAATCGAGCATGAAGTGAGAATAAATACCTGACAATAAAGGGTATCGAATGGAGTTATGACAGAGTACCACAGGACCAAAATATGGAATGAAACAAATGAAACCTAATCATGAAAAGAACTCATGGCGGCAAACCTTAGAGGGTTCCGAACGAGATCAGATAAATAAAGTCTCAAAGCAAAGAAGTCATTGATAGATGTCAAAGACAACAGTAATGGGAAATAAGGGCAGGAAAATATTAGAGGGTTCCGAACAAGATCATTTACTCGGAAGTTGAACTCAAGCAAACAAGTGACTGTCTTGAAATGTTAGTCAGGCAAGAGTCTAAGATGATGCTGAGAAGTTCATGCCATTCAAGTGACCCATTTTTAAATTCTCGTGTCAATGTTAGTCACCTTATAATTTTGACCCTTTTTAAATTTGTTGTCAAGTTGATCATCTAAGAATTTTAATCATTTTTAGATTATCATGTTATGATGTTGGCTTAACAATTTTAACTTATTTTTAAATTCTTATCTCGAAGTTAGTCACCCAACAATTTTGATATGTTTTTAAATATTATATCAAGTATTGCATGAGATATTAAGGTGAACTATATATAAAAAAGAGTAAAAGTAAAAAATAAAAAAAAAAGTTTCTGTCTAGTTTTATAATAAAAATAATAATATTTATAACATAAATAATTATATTAAGAATTTCAAGAATGCTTACAACACAGATAATAATATTTTTTATATCAATACTTTGAATTATAAAACAAATATTTATAACACAAATGATAATATTTTTGATATGAATTTCAAGAATGCTTACAACACAGATAATAATATTTTTTATATCAATACTTTGAATTATAAAACAAATATTTATAACACAAATGATAATATTTTTGATATGAATTTCAAGAATGCTTACAACACAGATAATAATATTTTTTATATCAATACTTTGAATTATAAAACAAATATTTATAACACAAATGATAATATTTTTGATATGAACACTTTGAATTGTAAGAGAAAAAAATAACATTTATAACACATATTATTATATTAACACACATGAGGTTGGGTGTGAATGCGTCTAGACCCAACCTCTAATTGGGCGTGGACGCATCAGACCCAACATTGGGTTGGGCGTCGACGCGTTCAAACCCAACTTGGGGTTGGGAGTGGACGCGTCCAGCCACGTGGCGCTAGGCGATCCTTCCCTAGCAATCAAACTCGATGCCCATGTGGTGCTTGGGTAAGACAAGTGTGCCCGCTCCACGTACAAACCCGAGCGTCATGTGGCGATTAGGGTGGCTTGGGGAGAGCCAACCGCTTAGATCATGTAAAAGGGCGTGCTTATCTTGGGTCTCAGGCGGGACTCGATTGTCTTGGGTCCGGCGTTATAACCCTATCTCATTGGTTCTTGCGTGACCCAATTCTACTAGGTCTTGATGAAGGATTTCAATTATTTTAATTTTTATTATAATTAAAAGTATTACTCTTAAAAATAGTATAATTGGTGTTACAATTATTTTTATTTTTATTAATATTAAAATATTTATATAAAAAATAGTATTATTTGTGCTATAAATACTATTATTTTATTTATAATTAATAATATGAATACTAAAAATATTATCACTTGTGGTGTAAATATTAGTATTTTTATTATAAGTAATCATATTATAATAACAATGGCAATCAGACACCTAACGTTGGGGTGACCCTGCTCAAGCATCACCTTAGCACGCAAACCCAAGTGTCAGGTCACGTTTATGGGTGCGTGAGGTGAGCCAAGCAGCCCTCGCTCATGTGCATACCGAGCGCCATATGGCGATATCGGTCACTCAAGGTGAGCCAACCCGTGCCCGCTTAATGTGGGCCATCTGGCGCTTGGGTTGAAAGGAGGACCCATTGTCTTAGGGTCGACATCAGCTCCCAAACTCAATGAGTCTTGTGTAACCCAATTCTATTGGGTCCTAATGAAAGATTTTAAATATTTTAGTTTTTATTATAATTAAAAATATTAATATAAAAAATAGTATTATTTGTGTTATAACTATTTTTATTATAATTTAAAGTATTAATAGTAAAAATAATATAATTTGTGTTATAAATATTTTAATTTTTCTTATAATTAAAAGTATTATTCTTAAAAATAGTATAATTGGTGTTACAAATATTATTATTTTTATTAAAATTTAAATTATTCATATAGAAAATAGTATTATTTATGCTATAAATATTATTATTTTATTTATAATTAATAGTATGAATACTAAAAATATTATCAGTTGTGGTATAAATATTAGTAATTTTGTTATAAGTAATAATATTATAATAATAATGAGAAGCGAAAACCGAGTGCTTGGGTTGCCCATACACCACGTGGTGTTGGGGTTGCCATAGCTAATCATCTTTTTTTCAAGATCCAAGCACTAGGTGGGGGTGGGGTTTGCCCCGCGCATTGGAATCACCCAGGCGCCAGGTGGTGCTCGGGTCTGCCCAGCGCAAGGTTAGGTCGTCCATGTGCCATGTGGAGCTCCGGTCTGCCTCGCGCAAGGGCCGGGCAGCCCAAGCACCAGGTGTCCTTGTGGGGGTAGATCCAACGCCAAGTGCCCGCTTCATGTGGCCTGCAGCCCTACCAAAACTTGTGCTGGCCATTTTCTCCTCAACTATCCCTTCAATGCTAATTGCACCCCAACAAAAAAACAACTTCATCCCTCCCCTGTTGCCCTTGCAACTCTTTGTGTCAAGGGTTGGGCTACATTACACTGCTCCAATCTATAGTATTTTGTGTCTATGTAAATAGTAATAGAGGCATTGGACCTTTTTAGTATATTATGTAATGAATTAGAATGAACATCTTCCATGTTAAATTGATTAAGACGAACCTAAATGCCAACACTCATTAATTGGCTCATGCAAGATTATGTCAACCCTAACCAAACTCGCTTGCAACATCAAGAAAAATATTCCTTACACTAAAAACAAATAACACACATCAATATAACATAAAAATGTATTTTCTAATTTAAATACATGATAGTGAACATCTAATAATAGAAGTAAATGATGAGCTTTCTTATTCTATGTTAAGTTCTCGAAGTATATGATAGTTTATACATCATAACATAAAATAATAACACACGACATAAACATGTATCCACTAATTATATTACTTAATAATCACATCCAAAGATAGGATCCGACAACAGGTTCTCTAATCTTGTATTGAGTTCTTGGATAAAAGATATTTGACATGCATTTATTTCAAACAAAAAATCATGCAAAATCAACACAAAAGATATATATATATATATATATATATATATATTTGTTAATTGTATTACTTAATAGTCAACATCTAATGATTGGAGACAATAATCCCGGGTTAAGTTCTTGAATAAAAGACAATTGATACATAATTTATATCAAACAAAAACAAACATGAAACAGCAACATGATAAATATAAATATATATTTACTAATTCTATTACTTGATAGTCAATATATAAGGATAAAAGCTAATGATAGTTCCTCTCATCCTAGATCGAGTTCTCGAATAAAATATAGTTGATACACAATTATAGTAAACAAAAAACACAAATGAAATGACAAAACAAAAAATTGATATTAGCAGCTTGAAAATAAAGGTTTGATATCGTCCTAGTCCTCTACAAAAAGCAGACTTTCAAGCGGGAATATCTGGAGCTTCTGATATCAAAATTAGATGATTTAAAAACTTAAATTCATCTATACGTACAAGACTACAACTTTCATGAAGGATTCAAAGTGAAACAAAATTGTTTTGACAGAATTTAGTTGCAATCTATATGGTCAAAAAAGATCTCCTGATTTGATTCGAAACTGACAATATCGAGCATCCCAATTTGACTAAGAGTCTGATATAAGAACACTGGGCTCTAAGACCTAATAAAGATACAGATCAATTCTTTAACATGTCATGAATTAGCTGGGAATGTCAGATATTGCACAAAATTAAGTCAAAATTAAAATCTAAGTTGAAACAAAAGTAATATTACAATATATTTATGACAACAACAAAATTATTTTTTTAATGACAGGTCCTCTAATTTTAGGTTGGGTTTTCAAATAAAATATAGTTGATACACTGTTATAATAATTAAAAAACATATATAAAATGACAAAATAAAAAGTTGATATTAGCGGCTTGAAAATAAAGGTTTGAAATCTTCCTAACCCTCCATAAAACCAAACTAAGGAGAGAGGGTAACAAAAACAAAAGGAGAGAGAAATAGAAGGATTTTAGAATTTTAATACAATTTGATAAAAGATTTAGAAAATTAATGTAAATGAAAAAAATTATTAAAAAAATAACATAGTTTGAACACAATTATTATTGAAAATAATGGTTGAATACAATTATTATTGAGAATAATAATTATTTTAAAAATCATATCTTCTAAATTTAATTATATATAGAAAATTAATTTAAAATTTTACAAAGATTCAATAATAAAAAAATAAGATTAAGTCTAATAACCTTCTTTTCACTAAAAAAACCTTAATGTTTGCCTTGAAAACACGTCAAACTCCAACCACTCTCATATACATCAGTCCCAGTCACATAGGATACCAGGAACCTAAACACATAGGTCTACTTTTATCTCTACTCTTGCTTGTGTGTGGCTTCAAAGCAGTAAGAATGTGTTTGGTATTGCGGTAATTATGCACTGTTCACTGAACAGTGTATTCTACATTGTTCACGCTAATTAAAATTAGTGTTAACAGTATGCGCAAAGCAGCAAAATGCTTCTTCTTCTTTTTCTACGTCTCGGACGTGAAAAAACATGGGATCCATACACAATAAAATGTGTTTTTTTTTTTACCAAACAAGTTACTTTTGCGTTTTAAATAAAATACAGACGTAACCTCGTTGTCAACCGGGTTCTAAGTCTAGCAAAGCCACTCTCTTTTATGAGCTACTAACTTTCATAGGGGAGAGAGTTCAAGTCTTTTCTTTGAGCAAGACGTTCCCTAGGCATCACCATTATTAAAGCCGCTAGCTTTGGGAAGTCACCTTCGAGATTACATCCTTAAGCTTCGAAGACGATCCTTGGAGTGGCATGGCATCATCAAATCAGTAGCTAAGGAATCGAGGGACCTTAGGTATATTTCTTTTCCCTTCAAAATCTATATTGTTTCTGTCGAGAGAAGGAAGGCACCTGTTGCCTTTGCTTTATATGGTGGCATAACAAAGCACTAGGGGCAGGGCAAGATTGTTCTCTGTAGTTTTGATATATAGTTGGGCATGTGACCTCCTCCTCTTCTGTTTTGATGTCATGTACCGTCTTTGTGGCTTTGAATAGACTTTATGATGAATTTTTTTCTTTTTACCAGTTTTCGTTCACAGCTAGGGAATGGATGTCATAGACCATAGCCTTTTCTTGTGTTTTTTTAGTGTGTTTGAGATAGTATTGGTAACATTTTAAAATGTTTTTTTATTTAAAAATATATTAAAATTATTTTTTTATTTTTTAAAAATTATTTTTGATATCGTCTTATTAAAACTATAAAACATAAAAAATATTATTTTAATTAAAAACAAATTTAAAAAATAATGGGCTGATGCCATAATGGGCTCTTGCATAGACATGGGTTTTCGAGGCCTTATTTGGAAAAGGACCCTCGGGCTGGGTCTTTTTTTACGTGTTCATGGGCCGTGATGTTAGGCCTGGGTTGTTATTTTATGTAATAGGCTCTCTTTTCCTCTCCTTGTCTGCTTGGGCTGAGGCCTTGTTCATTGCATTTTTGGGGTTGCATCAGTTAATTCGAAAGAGAATAATACAAAAGAAAAAAACAACTAATTAAAAAGAAAAAGAAAAAGGATAGAATAATTTTTTTATACAAATATAAATGTTCTTTTATTATTTTTCATGGCCAATTCCTTTTTAAAAAATCGTTTTAGCATATTTTTGCATCATACCGGAAAACCCCTTTTTAAAAGGAAAAGGAAAAACTACAAAATAATATTTTGTTTGTTTTGTCATTTTACATAAAAAAAATATTTTGTATATAAGGATTTGGCCAACATTAAAAGGTATGTTGGTTTGACATAATAAAAATAAAAAAAAATTGATAGAATTTTATCTTTGAAAAAATATCCTACAAATACGTATTAATGTCATAATTTTAATATAAAAAAACTCCTTTACCGATCAAATTTCCTATACGTAGGACTTGATATCAAAGATTTTTTAAAAATTTTAAGGATTAATATTATTTTTTAACGAGTTTTATAATTTAAAGATTGATATGCGGTTTCAAAATCATGAATAAGTTAAAAAATAGAAAAGTTAAAAAAAATAAAAAAACAATAATATTTTATCTAAAAAATAAAATAAGGATGATGTCTATCTTTTTTCAAACATAATTAACTCGATATCTAATCTCTAAATAAATTGATGTTAATTTGAGGATTTCTAGCTTCTTCTTTTTTAATTACTAAGTGATGAATCCAAAATAATCAATTTATTTGTTATTAATCCATCACGATGTGACAGCTGTTATATCTTGGATAACTTATTGCAACCCAATCCACCAACCCCCGTCACAGGTATCCATTACAATCTTATTCCATTTTAAAAAATAAATTTTTAATGGCATCATAATCTTGGGGCTGCAGCACAAAGATGCGAGTCCATCATTTCAAATATTCATAAGATTTGGCATAATAAAATGCAAGGAAATGAGCAATACATTGAAATTTATATAAAAATTACTTTTGTCTTCTCTTGTCTCTCTTCTTCTATCCTCCATCCTGGCTGCTATTGTTTGTTATTTTATACGGTGGTCTTGCTACTATCAACGGTGCCGGTGGCTGGTCGATATTGTCGTCGGAGATGGTAGAGACGACGTTGATTGTGGAGTGATGAGTGAGAGGATACTTTTTGTCTTTTTGTTTCTTTCTCTCTCTATTTTTCTATACACATTTAAAAAAACAAAATTCCAATAAATCTTTTCTTCTCTTGCTCTCTCACTTGCTGTTCACTCCAATATTATTTTTTTCCTCTCCTATATTCTCTCTTGTATTTTTTATCCTCTCTCATCTCATTCCCTTCTCGAACCTTGTACACATTTTCCATCTTATCACTTTATTATATTTATTTATTTATTTATTTATTTTATCAACTTTAATCTTTACTCCTCTTTCAATTATCATCAAATTATCATCATGCTCTTTAGATTTGATTTTTAGATTTCCCTTGATTTTTCCAAATTTCTTTATTTTGAAAATTCATCAATTTGCAAACAATTAGCAAATGTTAAAACTACTAAAAGACCAAAATCAACATAAAAATGTTAAAAATACTTTAATTTTTATATTTTTCAATATTAAACCTGGTTTCCATTAAATTTTAAAATTTATTTTTGCTTAAAATAAATTATTTTATGTTTTTAAATTTTTTTTAATAATATAAAAATTTTATTATAATATATTTTTAAATAAAAAATATTTTAAATCCTGATTATTATTACAGATTTTAAATAGAATAGAACAGTAAAAATATATATTTTTTAATTTTAAATTGCTTTTTAAAATTATTTTTGTTTAAAATAATTATTTTATGTTTTAATTTTTTTTCAATGTGTTAATGTTAAAATAATTTTTTTAAAATATAAAAGTTTTATTTTAATATATTTTTAAATAAAAAATACTTTAAATCTTCATTATTATTAAAAATTCCAAACAGAATAGAAAGTGCAGGGCCATCAGAGAAATGAATGATTCTTTCTCCTTGTAGAGGCCGGCCCTAATAGCAAGAGCAGTTCCAGGGATCCAGAAAAAGCCTTTTGCTGTGATTATATTTTAAAATATTTTTTATTTAGAAATATATTAAAATAATATTATTTTATTTTTTAAAAAATTATTTTTAATATTAATGTATTAAAATGATTTTTTTTTAAAATATTTTTTAAATAAAAAATAAATAGAGTTTAAAGTCTTCGCGCGTGTATCTGTCCAAGAATCGTCTCTGCCCACCACTAAAGCCTTTTATCCTATTTAATTTACATTGGACCCACGGCATGTGAACCTTGGGAAGTAATAAAGGTCATGCCTTCTTAAATGAAAGACTTGACATGTTTTTTTTGTCTTTTCTATGCCCAGCTCATGGCTCTGCACCATGAATCTGAACTGATGAGTGAGAGCATCTTTAAAATTTATGGTCAAGTCTTTGTTTATGTTCTTTCGTTTATTTTTTGCATTTAAAAAATGTTTGAAACTGTCATTATAGCTATTTTTAAAATATTTTTTATTTAAAAATATATTTTTTAAAATTATTTTTGGTATAAATGTATAAAATGATCTAAAAATATTAATTTAAAATAAATTAAGATTTTTTTAATTTTTTTTAAATACAAGTAATTAATATAAAGCTGTAGCATCAGTATAAAGGCCAAAAGCTGACAGCTTACCCTACATTTCTTGGATCCAGTCAGAAAGCGGACATTGAGAAGTAATAATGCATCTTTAAAAGTTATGGTCAAGTCTTTGTTTATGTTCAGCATCTTTGGTTTCCATTATGTCGATCTTTTGCATTGTCAAGCAGAGAAAAAACAATAATTATCATATATTTAAAAAATAATAATTACTATATTTACAAACGTTACTTTCGTTCAGGATACTACCTGGCAATTTCAATCACATATCATGCTAGATTTTGAATTTTTAAAAAATAATATATAAATTCTTTTAAGTTTTAATTTTTTAAAAT